TATGCCAAAACATTTCTTATGTGTGCAGAACTGCTACATCTTCATTTCAGTTTAGAAATGCATTGGCTTTGCATATCTTAGAGCAGGCATGTTTCAGTTAAACTTCAACATTCTATTGTGACATGCTAAAGCAGAAGTCAGATGTCTGGGACATCTCTCTGAAAATAAGCCAGGCTGTTCTTGTGAGGTATGAATGAACAGTATGTTTGAAGCCTGACTGTACTGGGTCAGGATAGCATTAATAGGAAGAAACTAAAGGGACTATTATTAGTGACTCAGATTTTTTCACATATCAGTCTCATCCAAGTGCATTTTTTTGCAACATTTCAAGTCTGACATGAGCAAGTTTTACTAGATGTGTTTTAATTGACTTAGTACAATCATTTTCGCTTGAAAGGTGTTTTGACATAGCTAACAGAGATGTCTTGGAAAAATAACTTAAGCTCTGGATAGGGAATATTTCTGCTTAATACAGCATGCAATGAGTATAAATAGTGTGCTTTTAGTGTAGCAAGTTCACAAATTAAGTTACTCTTATAAGGGAAATCAGGTTTGTTACTTTCATCAGTGTTATCACTGAACACTAAACATTCTGCTGTAGCTCTCAATATAACTTGCATTATGGAAGTATGCATTTTTCCTCAAGCCATTTGCCACAGTTAATTACATGCTAAGATTTAAAATTACGTAATTGGAAGCCATTCTACCTCATTACTTATTTAAGAAGATGTTTATTACATAGATACCTAATTTTAAACTTTCTCAAATAGCAATTGATCCTGCAGTAAACAGGTCTTCAAGGTTTAAGATTATTCTTAGTGTGCATCCCACAAGTTCCAGTATCAGGCTTCTGTTCCTTTAAATTTTTTGATGTCAGATGTAAAAATTCCAGGTTTCTGTAAGTGCACTTCTTCCAATAAAACTAGCACAAAGCATATGCAGAAATTAAACCAGGATTAATAAGTTCCTTACAAAAGAGATCTCAGAAGAGAATTTTACTGCTAGATCTGGAGTTCAAGCATTATTTTCTTTAGATTGTGTTATTTTGCAATCCTAGTTTATGCCTCTAGCTATAATCTAATTAACTGTCAGATAGAGGGATGCTCACAGTGTAAGCTACTCACTTACTCAAAGACTGCTTTATCAGAATAATTAGAGGGATGCTCACAGTGTAAGCTACTCACTCAAAGACTGCTTTATCAGAATAACAGGGGCACCTGTCTTTGTGACACAAGCTGCAAAGTTTTCTTGTTGTAATCCTTTGCCTATCATCAGTTCTACAGGCTGAACAGATGACAGAACACAGCCTCAAGTACCTTTTTCATCCAACAGTTAGTCTTTAATATCTCTTACTACTCTTAGTAAGAAATACGTGGACTTTTTTTAGGTGTATGTAACTGAGGGAAGATGTAGAAAAATCCAGTTTATATTAGAAGTTGAGACTTTCTGGGAAGCTAATGAAAGGATATGTATTATTGGAAGTTATATATACACAGAGGATTTTGGGTTTGTTAGCATAAATTTCCATTTTATATTAAGACTAGACTCCTTTCTAGCATTAGTTCAGAGGATAAAAATATTTTGTCAGGTTTAGAGAGTGTTAAACACAAGGAAAGAAACAGGTTGACAATATAAAATCTCCAGTATTAACTCCAGTTTTGGGTATATTTTTCTTTACCAAATCCTCTACAGCGTATACAAAAACAGCAGAATTAGTAAGAGCCTTTAAGTATCAGTTCAGGAAGAAACAGTCTTGTCTGGAGTACATTTCATCTGCTTTAACATCAATTTTTAAACAGTCTGCATTAGGAACCAAAAAGCCAGAGTAATACAGAATCAAATATTCGGGACATTGAAACAATCTTTTTTTTTCTTAGGTAGTCAGTTATAAACACTTATAAAAACACATTTCTCATAATTAACATAATTTTTTGATATATGAGCTGGTGCCATAAGTAGTCTAAACCAGAGGTTCTTCACTGAGCAATTTTTGCTGGGCTTTTTATGCCCCTGAAACAAAAATCTGTAGAGGGGCACAAAATTCATGACCAGCAAATATCCCCGTGGATAAACCTCCTTAAAGCAGCCATTTTTTCTTACAACACAACTACACCATCATCAACAGCTTGTTGTTCAGGAATACAATTTACTACCAGAATAAATGTCTCAGGAAACCAGTGCAATCATGTTAATATATCAGTTCCCAATTGTTTGCAAGGATGACCAAGGTAGTTGGAATGGTTTCAAGTAGGTAGTTGATGGCAATGTTGGCCAACTGACAGATGTGCCCATTCCTCATTCAGTGTGCTTCACTTCTTGGAACTTGCAGAAACAAGTAACTGTTTTCCTGTTGCAAAATAATCAGTACAGCTGCACGTTTCTTGTTTGTTTTGGATTTTTTTTTTTTACATTTAATATTATTACATATACCAAGGCTTTCACTTCAAGGACATACAGGGTCTCACTGTATAGCATTGTAATTTATGTTTTTATAATTTACATCATGGCTATACACTTAAGCCATATCTACACTAGACTTTGGCCAACAATCGGGGAGAACAGGTGTGATCCTCATCAGTACCACACTGCACATACAGACTGCTGTAAATGTCACTATACTGGGGGGAAAGAACCCCTCCCTTTCTACAGAAACATGGTCACAGTTTTGCTGGTGTGTTACATCCATTCCAGGTGCCAGAACACTCCGCCAGTACTCCCAGGGTTCCAGTAGCTTCTATTCAACTTCTATTTACGTTGCAGCTTTTGTTTGTTTTTTTCCTTCAACTGTTGTGGTTGCACAGCTCCTTTATTTTTTTCATCTTCAAAGCAGCATACCACATGTTTTCACAAAAGGAAGTATTCAAAATGATAATTTAAAAAAGTTTATTACATCAGTGAATCAGCAAATAGTATTTATTTCAAACAAAGCCACATCATCTTGTTTTCATCTTTCATCTAGATTTAGCTGTCTTCAACAGTAGTAAAAATGAGACTACAAAATGTAGAATGGAGATGAAACAGCCAATATGCAATATGAAGACTATTCAAATATAATGTACTTTCAGCTCTTCTACCCAAAATGCAGCTAATTTGTGTAGATTTATGCCTTAAATTTTTCTGTTTGTTACCAAATGCAAATATTTAGTACCCACATAAAAACCTCCTTACAGGTCTTTATCTGTAAATAAATTGTATCTTTAACTGCATAATGTAGATTCTGTTAGTGAACTTGAATTAATTTAGCCTCCCTTTACACTGGATTTACAGAAATGATAAATCAAATGCAATAGACAGGATGAGTAATGGCAATGCTCAGACTTTCTACCTACTTGGTATTTCAACCCACCAGATGATTTTTCAGCTTATAATAAATATCTGGTCCAGCCTCAAATTAATTAAGTCTTAGAAACCCTAAATTCTACTGGAAAATTCTGCTAGAGCATCTTGTGGTCTTGAGATACATTTCAATATTTAAAAAAAAAAAGTTGTATAAGTTTTAACCATTCAGGAATCTTAACTGTTCCCAATAATGGTCTTAGCAAATTTCAAATCCATGAGCTTATTTCAAGAAAGCAATCAGATACGTGGAAATTTTAAACCAATCTATAACATGAACAAGACAGTAAGTTTTGTTGGCTTATAATTTCTTAATTAGTTTAAGATCCAAGGAACTATGGGTTTTGTTCACTTGGTAGGGAAACAAAAAAGTTACTTTTAAACTGTAATTTACAAAAAAAAAAGCCCAGAGATTTGCAGACATAATAAAATTTATTTAAATTCCATGCATTACGGTAGCTACAAGTGTAGTCATATGAAACTGAAGGACAATAACTTCTTCTGTCCATACAATGTAGCTGTAAGTGAAATGAATGGGAGTTCCACAGTTACAAAGAAACAAACAAAACAAAACAAAAACCCAAAAAAGGTAAATCTGTTTCAGTTTTGAGTTATCTGTGAATTCAGATACAGTCACTAGACTGTAAACTTTTGAGGGAGGAGATGGGCTCACCACATTTACACAACTGTCAATGTTTAGTTTAAGACATTCTGAAGAAGCTCTGAAGATACCTTTTAATACTTGCTACTAATACTCTGGGAAGTGGAAAAAAAAAAAGTTAGCCTTCATCCTAATTGTTAGAATCAGGACAGTAACTGTAGACAGCCCACTTTCAAAGTGCAGCTAAACAGGGTTTCATTATGCAGCTCCTTCAAGTTGTACTGAGTAAGCTTAATTTTGAACCAGTTTTGCTTTAATTTCTCCAGAAAGACTTAACTGGTCCTCATAAGCTTACATTGCTTTTTGATATGCAAAAATTTACAGACTGTGCTTGATTCTGACCCTCCCATATTTCAGTATGTGCAAACTCTTAGGGATTTAAATAGTCTTTCTCCCTTCTCAGTTCAGACTGGTCTTTAAAACAGCAAGGATTATCCAGCCCTCTAAATTAAAGACAGGGTGAACTGAGTAACTTATATAACTGGCACTTTTAAATTGGCCCAGTTCTCCCACAAAATGCAGCTCTTATAAATACTAATAGGCACTATTGCCACAAAGTCTCTTATTTTTCAAGTTTTACTGGTTGTTAGCATTTTCTGTAGTTAACAATTGAATAATGCTGAATTTTTATAAAGACACAATATGTAGTTCTACCCTTCAAAACTGACATACTGTGTCTAGTAATGATGTTAAGTGAACATAAATTTGCTGAACATATTAACAAATGTAAAGCTAATGAAGGTGCCACATTTGCATGAATTTTTATTTTTTTTTAATTTTAAGAATGCATTCAACAAAGGGAAGGGGCAAACCTTATTTTTTTCATACAAACTTGGTTGAGTGCCCAATTGCCTCATTTAAAACTGTGTGTGTGGGGAGGCTGAGGAGTTTAGAAAAATCCAAGTAACCAAATATCTGGGTTACTGGGAAGTTAAAAAGCTAATGCAACTGTGTTACATCCAGATAAAAAACATTATTCAAAAGCAATTCAAATACCGAAAAGGATTTCAAATTGAATAGTTTATTAACATGGTAGTCATCTTTGTAACATGTGCACACACACTCGCACACTCTGAATGATCTGCCTGGAAAAAAGAAGAGGTCTTAATATATATGCTGGGGGAAATTAAACATTAAAAACCCTTTAGATTTTCATAATTATAGGCAATTATGTCCACATCACTTACAAAGCTATTGCCGAATCTTTCCAAGGAAGCAGAATTTGGGAGAAAAAAAAATTCTTTTTGGGAAAATTCAACAGTGGCATAGCAGAGCTCTCAATATGAGAAAGCTGACATAATGTGGACCTTTGCTGTGAAATTTGTCTTTGCAAAATATGGGGAGAAGTTTATCAATGGGCAGAAAATAAGAAGGCGGTGTGAAGTAGGCTTCTGCAGAATCGATTTTCCTCACAGTATTGTGCGGGGTCATTGAGAAAAATGCTTAGTCCTTTTCTGGAACCAGTTTCAGAACTTTTCCAATTGCAATGGTCTTACCTAAACCAAGGAGAGAAACAGTAGAGTTACATAAATTGTGGAAAGAATGTACAAGTCTCTTAAGAACATGAAAACTTCCCCCAAAAATACATGCTCTCCCGAGTATTAGAAGTAGCATAGAGAATAAATGGTTGTATTGTAGAATGAAAGCACCAGTGTATTTTAAAAGCACAGTAACATCTTACAAAAGAGTATGATTGCTATTCTCACAGTAAAGAATACAATGTGGGCTGTGGAAAGTCTGCTCTATATTCATCTAAAGAGAAGGCAACGCAGAATTGTTCTACCAGATCTGTTCACTGCTTGTAAATATAATTTATTCTAAATTTGTCCCACAAATCTACAAATTTTACCAGGGTGAACATGAGTTAAAGTCCAACATACAATTCCCCCATTAATCTTTTCTAACATTAAATTGAGAAACTATGGCATTCATATTGTAGGATGCATTAAGAAAACAGTGCTGGTAATTTTTCCAATTCAACCTTTTGTTTCACAGTCCACATTTCTGCACATCTTTCCCTCTAAAATAAAACACACCTTTTGTTACTAGGAAGATCTCTGCACAATGACAACAACTTGCTTAGATTTACTTTTCCACTGTTACCCAGACAGCAATTTCTACCAGATACCAGCATTACCTCATTGTCATGCACCACCTCCTATTTCAAATCCCTGAATATTGCAGCAGTTCATAACTGTTAATCAAGCAGCCTTACCCTCATCTCTTAAGGTAAAGCGACCCATCTGAGGGAAATCTTTGAATGTCTCAAGGCAGATAGTTCCTGCTGTCCTTAAACGGGCAATGCATACTTGATCTTGTTTCACAAAACGGGGCCGTGTCTTACTTTTTTCTCCTGTTTTTTTGTCTACCAAGCAGATTAAGGCCTGTGTAAGAAAAAAAAATTAACAGCTATGAGTGCTAAAATAAGGGTTATTTTTTCTTTATGAATAAAAATGACCTAAGAAAGAAAATACTTAGAAATAAAAAAATAAATAAATGTAAGATTTACAGCATATGAGTCAATCATTACTTACCACACATTTCAGAAAGCTTATGCTAACAGTTACAGCCATTTTTGGCTGTGTTCTGGTACTGACCAAACATTTCATTAAAGGCTGGAGATTTGCTCTACAGATGTACATCATGACAGAACTCCTCACCCTAACAAGTGAAGTGTTTATATTGACATCACAACTTAACAGGACACTTACTGTTATCTCAACTTCTTCAATACAAGTGTGGATGTGCAGCACAGCATTATAACCTGGGCAGATAATGGATTTGTGCTCAATTATCACTATCTGCAAAACAGGGACAAATAAGGGTGTTTTTCCTCTTTCAGTTGTAAAAGAGCAGAGAAATACAGAACTATATTAAAATGTGTAGTTGAACAATACACACACAACAATTTTTTTGTGAAAGAACAAGTATGTGACTAAGTTGTTTATAATATGGAAGTATAAAATTGAAGAACTGGCATAACAAGATCTTGTTTTCATGATTAATGACCTTTGAGACACATGAGAGAAGTTAAATTCAAATCACAGTACATTAAAAACTTAAATTCATAATGTCAGTGTTAGGTACATATGTTATTGTTAATTTAGAGATGTAATAGTGAATAAGAAATAGGAACTGAAACTTTACTGAAGTTTAGAGATTTTGGGAAACAAGCAAAATATTTTAATGCGTTTTCCAATTTGTCCAGCAATTAAATGCTAGTTTTTCTACCTGGGCATCAAACGTGCGTCCAGAATGACACAGGTTGTTGAGATCACAGAGAATAAAGCCTGGAAGGATCTCCTCCTCTTCAATTCCCTTCAGTCTGATCTTTAAATTTTCACCTGGGGCTACTGAATCAGTTTCAACATCATCAGAAAGGATTCCAAGAACTTCCACGTTGTGCTTAAAGAAAGCAAAAATGCAGTTTTCTATTGTGAATATTTTAGTCTGATACAAATCATTTTAGTACAACAGGATTTCAATAAATAATTCCTTTATAGTTAAAATTTATTAAATCTGGTTCTGCAAGCTTCAGAATATTTAAAATATTTGAAGATTAGTTTCTAATATTTTAAATACTATATTTAATAACATACATTTTAATATAATTCTCTAGTATAATACAAGATTTCTTGATTAAGATTATTAAAATATTAAGTATATATTAATGAATGCTCTCCAAGCAAACACCAAAATATATTTCCTAGTGTTCTTTTATGTTGTAACCTCTCTTCTGTCTTTTTATGTTTCCACAGAGACCAACAGAAAATAAATACTAGAAAGGCAAAGAAGATACAAAGTAGCTTCAGAAAGAGGTATATTGTTCTGATTTCCTGAAGTTTAAGTTCAATTCTCATTAGATGCCAAAGTAATAGTATTTAAAAAAAACTATACACATACATAACACACACCTGGAAACATCACCCTTGCACAACAAGAAAGCTTAGTTGTGTTCAACTGAACAATAAAATATTTTGACTTAAAGTGATTAATATATTTAAGAATCAAGCTTTTTTTTAGGATACTAACATTTTAAAATATCTAAATCTTACCATACCTTGTTTGGCATCATCACAAGCTGTTGTCCTTTGCAAATAGAGCCTGACTCCAGCTTCCCAAGGACCACAGTGCCCATATCCTTCACAAAAAGAAATTACATAAAAATGGAACACATTTTTCTAAAGAGTTCTATTTATGATTTAACTACTTTTGAGTTAAATCTATTTATGATTACTTAACCCTATCAAGTTATTTAGCACTGCTATACTTAATGTTTTGGAAACAGCTCTCATGAAAAGACTACAGACTTAAGAGCTTCATATAGTGCCAAAATTCTTTACTTCCCCTCCTGCCTCTATTCTATAGTTGGAAATGCAGACATAAAGGGGGGAAATAAATAAATAAATAAATAAATATATCCTCTATAAATACAGTAAATACTCAATTTCCTGCTTTCTGAAAACAGCCCATTTATACTTTCAATCCTATTATGTTCATTTGTACCTTGTATTTATCCACAATTGGCAGCCTGATTGGTCCATCAACTGAACGGTTGAAGTTTGGCAAATTATCCAGGTATGGAATAAATGGTAATCCACTGAAAAAGCAGAAAGTATTTGTTTCAATTCTGTGAACACACTTCTATTTAAAAATTATTCAGAATGGATAAACGCAAAAGGAATTATATTTATTCTGTCATCATTAAAAACAGTGACCTCTAAGAGAGTTAAATCTACCACAACATCCCATTAGTGTCCACTTTACCTAACAGGTTAATACCCAGGCAGTGTTATGTTACAGGCATACTTTACACAAATTAATTACTCCTTGTAATTAATCCTAGGGATGTAACACATTTTGGAAATATAAAATCATAAGCTGGGCTCAAACATGACTTATCTTCTATGTTTTAATTGCCATGAATAATTCTAGAAAACCTGACAGTCAAGAGGCATGGCTTGTCACCAATTATAACACAGCTTCAAGCAAACTGTTCACATATAAAAATTACTCATTCTAGCAACATGTCAGCTGCAGCATCACTGGAAAATTCAAGGACTAGTACAGCACTAAACTCACAAAGCCAAAAAATACTGCTAATACTATTACAAGGTATGCTAACTTTAATCTTCTGCAGTTAGCAAATGCTTTTATTTGGCTCACTGCATGGCTGTGTTCTTGTTGCCCCAACTGTATTTCCTCAAGCACACAGTTACAACAGTTACAATATACCATACTATATTTGTCCTAGCTTCACTGTAGCATTACTTTTATTGAAATATAGCAAATATCGAAGTTGTTCAATTTAAGATACATACATATACCAAGGGCAGAATTCTGACTGTTCTTTAAGGTTTGCTCCAGTCAATCCTGAGCAGGGCATGAAATGAATATCCTTTTTGGGATTGAAGCCAACTTTCTTCAAAAATGGCACCAGTTTCTCTTTACATTCCTCGTATCTATTACAATGAGAAGCAGATCAAGATAAATTTCAATTATTTGAGCATGACATAATGCTGTGCTTTAAAAGAAACACCAAACAACAAACACAGAGTTTTAATTTTTATCAGTTAAGTTATTCTGTGAGCAGCAAACCTTATCATGATTAGTGGCCTACTTGCATCTTCTCCCCAGTCTTCCAGCACAACCTGGTGTTGTCTATTCCCTCACATTTCTCTGCTCCATAAAGCATAATAATTTTTCTCCATGTACCTCCATTTCTGGGCTGGTTAAGCAGCAGCATGTGCTGTATCTGCTTTTAAGCAAGAGATCCAGGCCAAGATAGCAGAGACCAAGTGGGCAGTGACTGAGGTCATGCTGCAGGCTTTCACCTTAGTGGTGACTTGGTCTCCTCCAATCTACATAATTTCCTGCTATTTATTTCTATGACACTTCTTCCCCTCAGTCAGTTTCAGCTGAATTAAATAATGTCAGCAGGTTGGGACAGGAACAAGACAGGACAATTGGGCATGCCTTATTCTCTTAGTACACTAGGCTGATGTAAGGTTGCACAGTCCCTCAAGAGCTTTCCACAAAAACTTTGATGATTCTTGACAGCACTGCAAGTTCTCTGACAACTCTTCTTATTACACTGTGGAAGAAAACCATATCCTGTCATTACACAAGTACCTCTAGGGAAGGACTAAGTTACACTTTTTGGCATCCAGCTTAAAGGGGTGAGAAAAAGATCTGACAGAGGCCATAAAAAGACCTAAGTTTTGACATTTAGGAAAATTTAATCCCTTTAGTAACACTTGAATGTTAAGGCAGAAGAGAATAACTTAATTCTTTTTATTGGTTATTTAAGTATTACATCTTGACTTTCTGGTTATTTTTACCTGGCCTGTATCATTGCAACATTCCCTCCCTCCCCCTTCTCAGACTGTCATAACAAACCACTTCATTATATTATTTGCTTATTCAATTCAGCTTATCATGAAAGAACAAATAACCCAGAGTGGACATAGAAGGTGAAGAGAATAACAATGTTCTCACCAAATCTAAGCTAGCAGTTTAGCAGAAAGGTAGCCAAGAAATCAAGAGTCTTGCAAACTACTGAAAACAGAGTCACTTCCTTTTACATTCAGTGGAAAGTTTCCAAGTAAACAATTAAAACTGTTAGGTATGGCTGCATGGATCCAAACAGTTGAAAGTGAATGTTTTATAGTGTAGAATTCAAGCTTAGCTGGGAGGCACTGTGCTAGGCACTGTGCTTCTGTTTTTCCTGCTATTTTTATAACCTCTGTGTTTAGTCCACCAGTCTACCATTCTTTCAGCAAAAACAACATGCAAAAAATACTTATTTTATTTCAGTATATTTTAATGAAGATTAGGGATTTTTTTAAACATTAAACTCACCTTTCATTACTCCAGTTTACAGTTGGATCATCCATTTTATTAATAAGAACTATTAAATGTTTTACGCCTGCTGTTTTTGCTAACATGGCATGTTCTCTTGTTTGTCCACCTTTCTCAAATCCAGTTTCAAATTCTCCTTTTCTTGCAGAAATAACCTAATTAAAAATACACATTTTAATGAAGTTATACAATTCTCTCAACAGAACAATCAACAATGGGTAATACTACCTTATTAAAAAATAACTTTGGGTAATCTAAACTGGCAAGAACTTTCAAAATGCACTGGTATACTCTCAATATTATCCAATAGTTTGTGCACTGATATATATAAAAATCACACCACCTGTGGACAATTTTATGAAGCTCTTAAGTTACTCTAAAAAAGCAGGGAACTTGGAAGACTTAGTATTTGAAAATTTTGCCCACTGTAACTAACCAAAAGAGTAAACCAGCAAACAAAAAATAAAAATCAGAGGCTTAATTCCACAAGATATTCAAAGTAAAAGAATCTGATTTGTCCTTACCAGTACAGCAAGATCAGCTTGAGAAGCCCCACCAATCATATTTGGAACAAAGCTCTTATGTCCAGGAGCATCTAGAATAGTGAAGTGTTTCTTCTCAGTTTCAAAATAGGCACGACCCACTTCTACTGTTTTACCTTTGTCTCGTTCTTCTTGGTTTGTGTCTAAGGCCCATGAAAGGTACCTAAAAAAAAAACCCAACCCAAATATTCTATTGTTGTATTAATTTTTACTAGTTTTACATATTATGATTTTTTAATCATAAAAGGCTTCTTTTTTTCTGCTCAACTATTCTAACCATTTCAGCATCACTGAACACAAACATTTACAAGACAAATTGTGACTTTTTATTGAATTTGTGTGAATGTTTTGTGTATATATAGGGAGCTGTAGTGCCCAGTGCTAGCTCTTCCTCACATACCTAGAAGAATGTAATTCTAAACAATTTTAAGTTACTAAGTTCTTCAGGTATGATCTAAAACCAAATACTTATTACTTTACCTCAGTTTGAAAAACACCTCTGGATCAAATACAAAACAATTCCTCTTTCTCAGCATAATTCACTAAAAAAATACTTCTGATTTGCACATATTCATAATTATGAAAATTATTATTCTCACTGAATTGCACATATTAAACAGAACTTAGCTATGAAACAGACATCACCTTTATTCACCCTCTTTGATACTTGGATCATATCAACTGTTGTCCCCTCATTTTATCTCATTGGCCATTAACAAGTTAGATTTAAGTTAGACAGAAGAACTGAAATTTCAAAAAAAGGTTATTCAGCTCCTTGAGGTTTTGTGAAAATTGGTGAATAGAAAGGAGGAAATAATTAATACTCTCACTAAGGAGAAGTAATAATAACTAAATTGACCTGGCTGAACATACAAGTATTTTTCACCATTAACAGCAGCTTATAGAGATCTATAGCTTGCCTTTTGTATTGACTGGATAATACCTGAAGAGACACTGCTAACTCAGCTGACCAGTGATGACAGAAGGAATGTCAGGGATTATTGAACACAAAGATGTTCTTTCCAGCCCAAGACATTCCTTAGTTAGAGAAACCACTAAAGATTGGGAATTATGGATATATAATCAGTCTTCTCCTGGCAGTATCCGTTTATCACTGATCAAGGCCTGTAGAGCATGCTAGATGGCTTTTGGTTTGTACCCACATGGGCGCACCTTTTGCGTTGTAATCTTCACCATGGCCTGTGGTTCTGGAAGATTTCAGCCAAGCCAAAGGTCAGGTTTTACTCAGTTAACAAGAGTCAAGCAGGAATCTATCCATGGTACTGGACGGGAAGGTCCTTCTTGCATGTAGGGTTTTTTAGGGGAAGATGAATTTTTTGCTGATATGTCAACTCTGCACTACAGTATAGAATGTTCTGAATCACAAAGTAAAAATGCTCAAATTTCAAGACTCTCAACATATGAAGCGAGCTAATAGGACCTTTGATAATGCCAGAGGTACATCACACTTTCTGTAGTATATAATGACATATTGTATAGAACAAAAATAGCATTCAAGGAGGCACCTGCTGCAACTCACTCTCAAAAAGAGGAGGAGGAAGAATAAATCTTTTTTTTCAGGCTATTCAAAGTTTTTGAGGAAGGTCCTGAAATACTTATTACTATGGTCAACTCCCAACAGGGGGGTGATGCTTGCTTGATAAAAAGAACGTGTGTCACCCTTTCTATCCCTCTCTCTCACACATAATACAATTAGTTCAGGTCAGTGCCTACCCCTTGTGTGTTCCATTGGTGCTCTACCCCTAAGGAAATCTTTAGCTGCTTCTTTTCCAGACTCCCCTGAATCCTTATTTCCCCCCTCCCTGCAGCTAAAAATTCTAAGCTTCCAAAAGGAGAAGACATTTTCCAGTTGTTTGAAGGAAAAAGCAGGCTGCTATATGTGCTGTATCTACACACACAAAACCAAAAACCAACAACAACAACAAAAAAAAGACAACAAAACCCAAAATAAACAAGAGACCCCCCCCAGAAGTCCACACATGACATGATATCTCTGCTGCTTACAGGTGAAAGGCATGCTGACAGAACGACCCAAAAAGCTGCCAGAGAAAGTGTCTGCTGTTCTCCTTTTTACCAGACAACTAGTGTTTACCAAAGAATGGGAACTTAAAGCACTGGTCTCTAAACACAAAAAACCAAACCAAACGAGAACAAACAAAAAAAGAGCAAAACCTGTCCCAGTGTGAACAGCACTGGTTTGTATACTTTTAGTTCAAGAAATACTGGAGGAAAAAAAAAGATGCCTCACTTGCAACCCATTCCATCAGGAAGCCAGTGCTACAGGGACAGACTGAAAAATAGTTTCCCATTTTCAACACAGTGCAAAGAGAAAAGCACCCTATTAACTTTAATAACTTCATACCATGTTTCTCTGTTTTTTTCTTTAGCTTCTCTTTCATATTTTTCAAGTGTTCTTTTGTCAACCATTCCTGTCAAATACCTAAGGAGGGAGAAAAAAGTGCAATTTTATATAAACAGAAATATAGTTCCAAATATTTGAATATTTATACAATCCCTACAGATTATTTTGATAAACTGGAACAGCCTGATGTGAGCAGCAGTGTAATTCATTTATCCACAAAAAGCCACACCATTACCTGATACGTAAAAGTACACCTGTACCACAGAAGTATGAGGAATGTCTTTTTTAAAGTCTTAATGGTAAACCGTTCTGCAGAGGCAAGTCTTGAAAAGCAACTACAGCCATTAATTCCATTTCTGAGACTAATCCAATGTTTCAAAATTAAGAAAAAAAATTGTGATAGGATAATTTTTCACACTCCCCCCCATCAATTTCTGAAATGTGAAGAAAAATACTTTTTGTTCCATTCTTTTTACATAGAACAAGGAAACTGGTATTTTAAGAGATCCACCAGGTAAGAAGTGCACAGTTTTATTATATTAAAATTCTCATATTTTCCTCTCAGATATTTCTACCTGATCTTCTATTAATAGTAATCTACTTGGTTTATAAGGAAAAGTACTGATAACAGTAAACAAAGGGTTAATGTCAAAGTTGGTAAGAGCACCCAGGTTTTTTTGTCCTTTAGAACAAAGGGATATTCTGCAAAACTGAAAGATCACACAAAGCTTTAGGAACATAAGACATTGCTAGGCAGGTTAACAGGCACCTCCTTGTACAAGAACACTTGGGCACATCAGATAATAAAATGCTAATTTGCTCTAGTATGAACTACAAGGTTAAATGTAGCATGACAATTCCAACATTCCAGTTTGGTCAAAACAAAACAAGATGAAAATGCCAAGACAAAGACCTCCCATTCTTGCTGGGATGATTATGTTAAAATCACAGAAATACTTCACATCAGCAAGAAAGCATTTATTTCTTCCCTTTCCATTTCTTGTTTTTGACAAACCACAGGATCTAGCTGCATTAATTTACTTTTATCTCATAAAATTACTGCAGTCTCTAGATACCATTTCTTAAAAGATTAACTATTATAGTTTCACATTTTGAAATCTAATTATGCCTGACAACGTTAGCTCCATGGAATAAGGATTTTTTTTTAAACCTCAGAAAAAGGACAAAGTTTAGCAAAGAGTATAATAAAGCAGTTTCAAACAGCATTTTAAAATTATGAAGAAAACCAGAGGCACATTCTAAGAAAGATTTTTTTTTTTTATTTACTCATACATGCTTTTGCATAGGTGTTTCCATAAGTAAGTGAAACTCCTTAAGCAGTAAAATTAGATCTGCTGGAAATGAGAAATTCCAGAGAGAATAAGTTACTAAGTTAACAGGAAGAGTAACCTTTTATTATAAAAATATTAACTTACGATGATTAAAGCTATTATTCACTTTACATAATGTATTTTGAGTTCACAAAAAAAAGTTAAAAATTTCAATTAAGAGTTTTCTTACATTATTTGTCCTCCAATAGTTGACTTGCCAGCATCTAAAATAAAAAAATAAGTCACTCACAATTTAAAAGAAAATCCTAGAAAAAGGAGCAAATTATTATGAACACGGTAATTAATTTATTTCCAAAGATACATTGTTAAGTAAATTTTTAAGAATCTCTCAGCTTATTTCCATAATGACTGTCAATTCAATTACACTGAATTTTGAAAATTCTTGTTTCATACATTTAACTTGGCATTACCCATGATGAAACAACACAAACAGCAAGCAGTGAGCCAGCAAAAGTGAGTTAAGCACATGGGAAGTTCATGCCAAATCTCTTTCCCCACTTCCTTTATCCCTTGTCCCCAGCTTCTGTAGGCTGCTCTTCAATAGTGGAATGTATCTCTGTCCACTGCTTCTTTAATTGTGTGACTCCATTCTGAATTCACTCAAGAACTAACTTACAGTAGTTTTAAGGTGATAAGAGACTACACAAATGAAAATACAGAATTTACTGTAAATGTCATGTCTCGATTAATCTTCTGTACTTTTGACACAACTTAAGATTTTTTGAAGCTTGCTTAAACTATTCAATTGAGACATTCTGCTATAAATGCTTTTAACCCTAGGTTACGTTAATTGTTCATAGCTCTACAATTTTAATATTTTGAACATTATTTTAATTACAATTAATCAGAACATTGCAAAAATGTTTAAGACAAGGAGAAAAGGAGCACTGCTTTCCATTTTTGTTCTTCAGATCATAAACACAGACATGTCACTTAAGCACCCAACAGATCAGGTACTTGAGAAGCCACGGACAGACACCACCGTGTCCAGGAGAACACAGGCACTCCATCCTTGGCACTCTACCCCCAAAAGACCTTCTTAAATTTTTTTTCATTTTTCCAGAGCAGCTTCATTAGGATGTGTGTTCCTATTAACCTCAACATGTGGTGAATACATACACCCCTACACAAAGATCAGGATTAATTTCTAATCCTCTGAGTTCTAGATAATACACAACACAAGGTCCAATTACTTCATATTCACTGACAACTTACCTACGTGCCCAATGAATACTACATTTACATGCTCTTTTTTAGGAGCACCTGGCGGCGCTACAACAGATTTCGGTTTTGGTATTTCCTCCTCCTCTTCCATCATCATTTCCTGAGCACTTTCTTCAGAAGGCCCTGCATCCCCTGCAGGACCACTTCCTAGCTCTACTTCACTTGTTTCTTCTTTGTGGTCCCATGACTCTTCCGGGGACATTTCTGTCTCTCCATTTTCCACTAAAAATTAACCAGTTAGATTTATTAAAACAGATAACAAAATTAAAAGTAATGACTATGGAGAAAAGCTCCTGCTCACAAGATGCAATCAAAACACTTCAACTACTCAGTCTGTTAATGTCTTCCTATATAAAAATGGGCAACTGCTGCTTGCTCCTGAAACTGTTAATACTGAGAGCTTTCAAACTAGCTTATGTGCTGACATCAGAACACTATGATTCACAGAGATTAAAAGAACTCTGTTTTAACAAGGCAACAATCTTAAAAGGAAAAAACAAATCTGAAGACCCACTCAGTCTATCATGCTGGTCTGAATCCACAGACCCATGCTACCATATGTTTAGAAAGAAAAGAGGTGGGATAATGGTTTAAATTCTCTGAAAAGCTAAACAAATACAAGGAGAATTTCCACAGTCTGATTGCTTATATTTCTGATCACTAACCTTTTTTGTTAATCACTATTTCACACATATTAACAGGACTTTTTTGTAATATGAAATTTTTTAATGAAACACTGATACTTTTTCAGTGCCCAAATAAACTAATTGTACCTGTCAATGCATAATAGTGTTCAATTACCTCTTTCCTAATCTAAGTATAAAGAGACAACAATAATCAGTAATGACTGAAAATGCAAAGGCTCCATAAAGTATTCTTTAATTTTGTTTGCAATGATTCAGCAAAAGCATTACAGTAGTATTTTATAGCACTGTCATAATGAAACAGAACAATTCTCATCTTACCAACAGATTCTGAAATTTCCATGTTAACAGCAGCATTTGAACCTAGGGGAAAAACAACAACAAAAAAGGAATCATTAAGGACACATATTTACCATGGTAGTATCAAGAACAAAGAGAATGACTACATTAATAAAAGGACAGTTCAGATGCTTGGGCATTTGCCAGTGCTATTTAATATACCGATTCAATTTTAAAAATCCTGCTTCATACAAGCTTTATGACCTTCAATAAACCACTCAGTCTTTATGTGCTTTGCTTGACTGGCTATAAAATTGTAAATAACCACAGATAATCACACTGCCTTGCAACAGTAGTATGTGGATAAAAAGATTGGAAAAGGTTCCTAGAAATTTTTGCAAAGGAGATTCTTTGCAATACTTTTTTTAAAAAACATGTTTACTGGAGCTGTGTTGTTTTCTGTCAGAACATGTGAACAGTTACCTTCACAAGAGCCTGTCTGCTCCTCTGGTGAAGCCTCTACAGATAAGCCTGCAAAGAAAAAAAGTAACTTGTAAAATACACTGATGTAACCAATTTTCACAGCCATAAAAGACCATGTCCCAACTTTTTTCAAGTGTATTTACAGCAAAACACCTCCCTCCCCCCTGAAAACAGTACAAATATAGCCTCCAAGCACAAATACTTCTAAAGAACACTGCCTAAATGTTGTGAAATAATACACCCATTCTAAAAACTAGTCAACTTTTTTTCCCCCAAATGCAAAGATACACTTAAAGCAAATTTTAAAGGAAGCAGTTTTTCTATAGGTAGTATTTTACCTGCCCATACTTTTTGGGCATGCTGGCTATTTTAAGTGTTAGTATCTACTGGTGTTCAAAAGTGACAAACCAGTTTCATTGTATCCAAAGAATCAATGTGTATTTGGTGTCACAACTTGTAGAGAAATCCGATAGGCATACCTACAATGCTACTGCACCTCAATTTCACATAAGCATTGAGGATAAAATTCAAACAAGCTATTAAGAACAAACTCTTAATATCTTCTGTAGTTATTAGGGTGAATAGATGATAAACTCATTGGTATGCCTTGTAAGTTTACCAGTCCTCTAAAACACCACAATATAGTCACATCGACCTCCGAGCAGTCTCACCAAAAGGTGCCTATCAAAGCCACAGGTGTATTTTTTTGGATAGATCACTCAACTTACCATGCACTAAACCATGCCACTAAACTACACGCCATATATATCATTATATACTATAATTATTAAATCTACTAAAGAGTGATATGTTCCAATTAAAAATTACACCACTTGATGTTTCAGGACATAATTCCACAGATTAAGAGGCCTTCTATAATTATCCCTAAAACCTTAACCTATTTAGTTTTCTCTTGGTATAAATTCAACTTCATAATTCTTTGAAACAAGTTAATAAGCTTTTTTTTTTCCAGTCACATACCAAATCCATACTCTCTATTTAGCTGTAAATCCAGCCCTCCTTCAATCCCATTATAAAAATACGATCTTGAGGCACTACTTGCTCTATATGCATGATGGAACCTAAAGATGAAACAAATCCCCTCAAAAGAACAAAAACAGAGAGAGAAAGACCTGATTCTAAGCTTCTTTGCTTTCGTGCTGTATAAACTGGAGCAGTGCTGCAAATCTGGAAGAGGGCCAGAGGACAAAGCTGGCAGGCAGGGTGAATGTGGGTCACAGCACAACACCCAGTGACCAGCAGCTAACAGTGGAGGGGGCACAGCAACACAGAGGAGGAAACTGTTCCCAGTGAGGTTCCCTGCACTCCTGAGTTATATCATATTATCATACATGATCTGCACTCCAGGGTACCAAAACCACAGGAACAAAACTTTAAGAGAATGATTTAATATAATAAGTAAAAGCATAACAACAGAATACCTTGAGGTTACTTGTAGGAAAGTAGATATTACACCCATTTGAGAGCTAGAAAAGGCTTCAATCAGCCCATTTATGAATGTGTTAAGCAGGTGGCACAGATTCTAGGTATGAACCTAAAGCCTGGTTTTTAACACATCAGAAGACTATTTAACTCATACTATAGTTGGGATGCATAAATATTTGCATTACAAGATCAATTAACCGAGCTTTTAATTTCACTCCTGAAGTTTCTCCATTATGAAAAATGTATAAAATGCCAGTATTTATGCACTTGCCTTGAAACAGAAGCTCTACAAGTAGTTGATGAGTTATGTAATTCCTTAGAAATATGTTGACAATCAATTGCATTCATTATAAATGCAGTGCACATTTTACTTTCTGGTCTCTAATACAGCAGGCATAAAGTCAGGAAAACAAAGTTTGTTCAGAAATAACAGAGGAGGGAGGAAACTGTTAACCTAAAAAGGTCCATCTGTTGAATTTCGTATGAGTCTAACACACAAGGCAATCATTAAGACAATTATCTGAAAAGAAGGATGCAGTCCTACTGCTTCTTAGACTACTGAATTTCCACATTTTGCTCTTTGTCTTCTCTTCCCCAGCATCAGCCATAGTGCACAACTATTTAAGCTCCACAAAGGCAGCTGGTCCAAAAACTGAACCAGCAAAGAACCTACCAGCTTTTGGGTGGACCAGCACTCTGAAGGAACATAACAGCTGGGTGGCAGAGCACTACTACTGCCATGGCAGAGAGAACAGAAAGGCAATCTCAGTGAGTAAAGGAAAAACACTTCAAGTTTCAGTTCCGAAACACTTAGGGAATCCTCAGATCACGTAAAAAGGAAATGACAATTCTGAATCTTGTTGAGTTAGGCTTACTACTTGGGACTCAATACTGGATTAGGACATAAGAAGTCATCCAAGTCTGTACTGTCCCTGTGGCAAAAAGTCTGGACAAATCCAGTGAATTGAAGTAACCTTGCTTATTATCCCCCCCACTCCCATGAGATAGAGTCATTGTAAGAAAATAACGTAAAAGATTAGGGAAACTGATAAATTACCAGATGCACAGAATAAGCTGAGAGATGTCTCCACACAAGATACTCTTCAGTGTTAGCTGGTAACTCCTAGGAAGCCATTACCTGAGCCACAATGCAAACACCTTCACTGAATTGGGGAGAGGCCTCAATTATGTTGCTATGGGTGGCAGCACTTGTAGCCTGCTCTGCTGCTGGAGTGATAAGAACCTAGGTACTACTGGTACCTGGCAATTGAGGTAGACTATGGGGTTAATTAAACTGTTGGCATAAAGAAAGATTAAAAGTACAAAACAAACCCCCCCAAACACCTTCACTGAATTGGGGAGAGGCCTCAATTATGTTGCTATGGGTGGCAGCACTTGTAGCCTGCTCTGCTGCTGGAGTGATAAGAACCTAGGTACTACTGGTACCTGGCAATTGAGGTAGACTATGGGGTTAATTAAACTGTTGGCATAAAGAAAGATTAAAAGTACAAAACAACCCCCCCCATAACAAAATAAAACACCAGAGGAAAAAAAAAAAAAAGGCAAGTTCAGTTTGCAAGAAGTGTCTTATCTACAAAACTTAGGTGGTCTGTACAGTGAATTTTTTGTTGCTCCTCCCATACATGCAACAAGTTCCTTCACAGGAATTCCTGGAAGGCTGAAGAGTTCAGAAATGCATGACACCCACATCAGGATTCCCATCAACCTTTTCCTATGTGATTTGAATATTCGAGTTCACTACATATTTACACAATAGTAATATAGTTTCAACAGTTTTCATGAATTACATAACAGATGTTTGCTCCTTTTTTTTTTTTTAATAAAAGCATAAAGGGAATCACACCGTTTTTTAATTAAAAACAAAGGTCAAGTCAAACATAAAGAACATGCAATCAGAATTAAAAAAACCCCAAGAGATTCTTAGTTAACAAAGAAACAAAAAATACTTTAACACAAATAAGTGGGAGAGCTAAATAAAGTATTTAATATTTTAAAAAATACAGAAGGGAAGTGTTTTTAGGAGTTCACTGTAATTAAGGCAGTTGTTATGCAAGTTAACTTCAATCTAAAATTATTTTCTTCTTGCCTCTCCCCTGCTTCATAGCCTAGCTTCACCAGTGGACATACAGATGCATGCCCAGTTTTTAAAATGCACCAATATAAGAGCAGCTTTAATAGCTTTAACATGACTTCGTAAAATTCACGAAAAAAAATTAGCACTTGCTTTGTAGTTATAGGATTTGACTACACGTTCCTTAGTAAAAGACCCATTTTTTTCCTTCCCCAGTGAGTACCTTAAGTTTACCTTATCTAAAACTGACATGCTTCTTCACAACCAAGTCTAAAAAAGCTTATGGGGATTTTCAGGGAACATAATGAAAAACCCTCTTCCTTAAGGGTAAGTATTTGTACTCAGTGGATAACTTGATTTTTAAGACATACAGTCAGGAAATCAAGCTCTGTATTAGAACAGTTACAGATTCTACTCTCTATCAAAGAGCTCTTATAATCCAGTAGGAATAGAAATTAAAAAAAACAACAAACACCAAAACAAATAAACCCCAAACCTAAGCACAACATGGATTTTGTTGCAGCTTAAGCTCAGGATCTTAACACATAAAAGAGTAAAAATTACACACAAATTCTCAAAGTGTTCTACAGAAAACATTTTTAGTATTGTATTGCCTGTTCTAAACTGACTTTCGGACTGAAAAATCAGTGTCATTTTCATAGAGACCTCTTCAAAACAGTAAAAAATTTAACTCATTATATTTTGACTGCTTTATTCCTTCATGATAAAAAATTAAAAATAAAACCTTATTTCTATCTTAGCTTCATACAATCAGCTGCTTCTCTTGCTTGTCACAAGACAGGACAGAAATTCCAAAATTCTGGAAGCGGAACTGCAAAACCATATTTCCACACTATTTTTGTGTTCATTTTGATAGAGCATTCAAGTTTTAAGATAACATCATGACTTAAATGCCTTACATTAGTAGCCCAAATCAGGGTGCAAAACACACAGTCAGCAGACTGCATACACTCCAGGACAGTTCATCCAGTCCACAGCCAGCTCCCAGTGGTGTCTTTTGTTGGAGTCATGCAAAGGCCACAAGCGTGATGAATTACTCTAACAGGAGCAACACAACCCTGGCTACCTTCCTGGGGACTGTTCAGATGTAGACAAAGGACATCTGTGTAATACATTGGCACCTTGTCTGCATCACACAGGTGTACTGTATCTGATCATCTGGCAAGTTCATGCCAAGACACACAGCCTTTCCCTGCACTCATCTTTTTAAGAGGTTGTGCAGCTCATCTGTCTAGAGAAGCTGATACAGAAGAACCCTGCTGTAGATAGTGATTACTCAAAGATTTTTTTGATAATAGGAACTTACACCATGTACTGGCATTCACAATATGACACTGATTTGCTGTAACATAAGCATTTCAAGTGTACAGTTGTCAAGCATTAACAGTAGCATTATCAACACCCTGCTGGTGAGGAAATCATCAGCATATGGCTATTTGAATGTCAATGTGAGTAAACCATCTAATCCTTTGATATGTGAG